ATTAATTTATAATACGAGCGCCAAAAAGAGAGTCAAGAGTCTGAATTCGGATAATGTTTTATTGAGGATTATCCGGTTATCCTTATAGATTATCCGGATTTTGCCCACCTCCAGTTGTAGTTCTTGTTGGATGAGGGAGGATGTCGTCGGTAGGGCTGGGCAATGAGTCGCTTTAGCAAAATCCGGATCATATGTTACTGCAGCTCTTCGGTAAATAATATGGCTTGAACCGGTTCGGCAAATGGGTTAGAACCACTTCGACAAATGGGGTAAAATCACTTTGACAAACGGGTTAGCATCATTTCAACAAATGGGTGCACCCACTCCGGCAGACGGGTCAGGAAAGAGAGTTAAAGAGTCTGAATTCGGATAACGTCTTATTGAGAATTATTCGATTATCCGGATATTTATCCGGATTTTGCTCACCTCAAGTCGTCGGGGGCTCACATCATACAGCACGCGCTAACGGGCGGGGACTCACATAGAGCACGCGCTAACAGACGGCGGGGTTGTCTGTCTGCTGGTTCTGTGAACCAAGACCTCAGATCTGGGAACGAGCAGGAAGTGTGGGGATCCACGACGATCCCGCGCGCGCGTGAGTCTGTCGGTCACATTTATGATTTCGGCGACCGGTAATTTGTTCTTCACTTTCGGGAGGTACTTACTGATTCACGAGGGTGAAAGTGAAAGTGTTTTCTAACCAGGCCTAAGTGAGGATACACGCGCTAAACTGCTTTACGGTTCTGAAAGTACGCTAATGATTTGAAACGAAACGAACTGTTAAATTTTAAAATGGAAGTCTTTACACAGCGCTAAAAAGATAATTATTGATTATTTCGAAGTAAATATGTGTTTAAAAAGGAGAGAAAGGGTAGAGTTTTTAATTTGTTTTTGTTATTTTAGTGTAGAAATTCCTGCTTTATGACTCATAATATGATTATAAACCCATTAGAAGAAGAAGGGTTTTATTTTCTAAACTACAATAACCACGGGTTATTTTCTCCGCTTTCACTTCGTTTCCGTTTTCTGGATTTCTGGAGAAAAAAATGATTAATTTTCTTGAGCAAATAAGAGTTGGGTTAAACAGGAGAACTGGCCTTCAGCGGGGATAATGTGCGCTGGAAAAAACAGACGAGGTTGGGAAGGGGGGGGGGGTTGTTCTCGTCTGGAAAAATAAAAGAATTGTTAGTGTAAAATGTTTCAACTATTTCAGCTAATATTGCACCTGGCAATTCATGATTTTCAAACGAAGAATGTGTACATAATACCATATTGAAGATATTCTATTAATATGACAGTCCAGTTAATAGTCTGCAAATTAATGGTTATTTCTTGTAACGCCTCCCCCGTTTTGTATTGATTCGTTGTGCGGGTTGTTAGAATAAATGTGGTTCTGCTCTGTCCCGTGGATTCACTTAGCTGCATGAACACAGTCTCGAGAGACCAGGGTCAAACGGATGCGTGATTTCATGTGTCTCATGTGTCTTGTGTGTCCCGTGTCTCATAATTGAATAGCTTATGTGTCACATGTGTCCGGGGATTTGTGCACACGTGGGATTTCGTCGGAACAAGAGTTGGTCGGTTTTATTTAAGCACAAGG